TACCCAGTACTACTGAAACCCAAAATATATTAAGTTTAGGATGTAAGGGAATATGTAATCCTCATAACTATAATTTGCTTATACCGTTTGTCCAGGGAGGATATATACCTGTTGATTTTAAGGAAACATTTTATAAGTATAGGTGTGAACAGGGTACGTTTTTGCGAAATGTTGCTGAAGCACTAGGTGTTGGTGTTGATCAGGTCGTTCAGGGTATCGGTCAATCTAATGTGTTGCAGTTTATATCGAATTCATTGGAAAAAATGGGATGGATTATACTGATACTAATTATAATAACAATATTTGCTGGTCTAATTGTAAAACTTATTGTTAAAATTTTTTAAATATAAACCGTTAATCAATGCTTTGCTTTGGTTCAAACCAGCATATGTTTGATATTTTTTTTAAATAGTTTTTATGAATTTATTATAACTAAAAAACAATAGAAAAAAAAGAAAAAAGTAGCAATGGGATTAATACCAATTTTAGTTGCTATAATCCTAATTGTAATAGTTTTAATAATTATTCATTTACGCGGAAAACGTATCAATGTCAGTAAGGCTATCAGACATGATCCGATACCAGAGTCCTCCAAAGAAACATACCAATCCGTCAACAGTCAAACAACAAAAACAACAAAATTCTCTGAACTTCCTCATGAAACAACATTACAATCAACCATCAGTCGAACAACAACAAAATTCTCTGAACTTCCTCAAGATACAACATTACCATCCACCATCAGTCCAACAACAACAACAACAACAACAACAGAGTCCTTCCTCTGAAGTACCTCGAAAAACAACATTACAATCCACACTCAGTCAAAAAACAACAACAGAGTCCTCTGAAGTACTTCAAGAAACAACATTACCATCCACCATCAGTTCAACAACAACAACAGAGTCCTCTGAAGAATCTAATATAATCATCCCAAAGTTGGAATCATTATTCTCCCCGTTTATCAGAGATATAAATACCAATAAAGGTCTCGTAATTATTCCTAAACCACCAATTTCGTATAATCCTAAGAATAGAATCGAAAGTGAGAATACAATCATTAAGCCTTTTAATAGCTTCCTACTAAATTATAATAAAATTCACAGATATTTATATAATAATACCGTATCATTTAACGTAAATTATGTATGGCAAAATTCTAGTTACGACAAGGGATATTATTCAAAAAATCCAACTATTTTAATATTTCCTTGGAATATTAATGATTTCAAACCTATTGTTTATACAGATCAAAGTGAAATACAAGATGTTACATTACAGAACCATATAAATGCAGTACGTGCAAAATAACACAATGAAAGAAAAAAATTCTACATGGACAAATTGTGGATATCATGTATGCAAGCGGCAAGTCAAGATATATTTATTCAGGGATTCTCTAAGTATGATTTTCCAATTAAAGAAAATCCATTACCACCATTTGTGGTAATGAAACTTGAACTTTAAGATGGTAATAATGAGGTGGAATGTAAAATGGTGGCAAAGAATATTAATTCCTCAGAAACCTTTGCTGACATTAAATTGAATATCAATGTGGAAGTCTCGGAAGTGGAACAAAAAACTGGAGGAAGAACAGGAGGACTCCCTGATATGGTTCCCGATTATTAGTCCAGAAACATAATAATCGAAAGAATGTAAAATTATAATTGTTGAGAATAGGATGAAAACGGTAAGGGAGAATGTATGAATTTTCGACACCTAATGGACTCTTGTAATAAGTTTTTGAGTGAAAGTGTATATATAAGATTTCAATAACATTTTTGACTTTGGTTGAATATTTACTTTATTTTTCTTAATATTTTAATTAAAAATCTTATAATTAAAAAAAGAGAAAATTAGGAATGAATCTACTGTTAACAATTATTATGTTAATATTATTATTTATTTTCCTAACAGTTATATTAGTCATTCATTCATGGAAAATATCTACAAATACTAAAAAATTAAAAAAAAAGAAAACAATGACAACTCCATTAGTTATGATCCAATACCAGAGTCCACTGAACTATCTAAACAATCCTCCTTCGGTCTAACAGAAGCTTCTAAAGTACCCCAAGAATCATTAAAATCAGTCAGTAGAGTACCTCAAGAACCATTACAATCATCATCCATCAGTTCAACAGAATCTTCCAAAAAACCCAAAGAAACATTAAAATCCTCCAAGATTCAAATAATGAAGAAATGGCAGCAGCTCCAACAACACCTTCATCTTCTGATCAAGATTCAAATAGATTCCTCTGAACTGCCTCAAGAAACATTACAAACTGAGGCCTCTGAACTGCCTCAAGAAACATTACAAACTGAGGACTCTGAACTGCCACAACAGAAATTACAAACGAAGGATTCAGAACATCCTCCAGAAACATTACAAACCGAGGACTCTGAACTGCCTCAAGAAACATTACAAACTGAGGACTCTGAACTGCCTCAAGAAACATTACAAACTGAGGACTCTGAACTGCCTCAAGAAACATTACAAACTGAGGCCTCTGAACTGCCTCAAAAATCCTTACAAACTGAGGACTCTGAACTGCCTCAAGAAACATTACAAACTGAGGACTCTGAACTGCCTCAAAAATCCTTACAAACTGAGGTCTCTGAACTCCCTCAAGGAACATTAAAAACTGAGGCCTCTGAACTGCCTCAAGAAACATAAAAAACTGAGGCCTCTGAACTGCCTCAAGAAACATTACAAACTGAGGACTCTGAACTGCCTCAAGAAACATTACGAACTGAGAACTCTGAACTGCCTCAAGAAACATTACGAACTGAGAACTCTGAACTGCCTCAAGAAACATTAAAAACTGAGGCCTCTGAACTGCCTCAAGAAACATAAAAAACTGAGGCCTCTGAACTGCCTCAAGAAACATTACAAACTGAGGCCTCTGAACTGCCTCAAGAAACATTACGAACTGAGAACTCTGAACTGACTCAAGAAACATTACGAACTGAGAACTCTGAACTGCCTCAAGAAACATTAAAAACTGAGGCCTCTGAACTGCCTCAAGAAACATAAAAAACTGAGGCCTCTGAACTGCCTCAAGAAACATTACAAACTGAGGCCTCTGAACTGCCTCAAGAAACATTACGAACTGAGAACTCTGAACTGCCTCAAGAAACATTACGAACTGAGAACTCTGAACTGCCTCAAGAAACATAAAAAACTGAGGCCTCTGAACTGCCCCAAGAAACATTACAAACCAAGACCTCTGAACTGCCTCAAAAAACATTACAAACTGAGGTCTCTGAACTCCCTCAAGGAACATTACAAACTGAGGCCTCTGAAATGTTTCAAGAAACATTACAAACTGAGGTTTCTGAACTGCCTCAAGAAACAATAAAAAGTGAGGCCTCTGAACTGCCTCAAAAAACATTAACAACCAAGGCCACTGAACTACCTCAAGAAACAATAAAACTGAGGCCTCTGAACTGCCTCAAGAAACATTAACTACTGAGGCCTCTGAGCTGCCTCAAGAAACAATAAAAACTGAGGCCTCTGAACTCCTTCAAGAAACATTAAAAACTGAGGCCTCTGAACTACCTCAAGAAACACTACAAAGTAAGGATTCTGAACTGCCTCATGAAACATTACAATCTATCATCAGTCAAAAGTTACAATCATTCTTCAATCAAACAGAATCATATGAATTATCTCAAGAAATGTTACAATCTGTCAACAATCAAACAATGCAGTTCGTCATCAGTCAAACAGAGTCCTCCTCTGAAGTATCCCCAGATACTTCAGTACAATCTGCCATCAGGAAATCCATTTTGGAATCATTATTTTCCCCTTTTATCGAGGATGTAAAAACTTATAAAGGTCTCATTGTTATTCCTAAACCACCATTTTCGTATAATCCTAAGAATAAACTCGAAATTGAGAATACAGTAATAAAACCTTTTAATGACTTCCTTTTAAATTATAATCAAGCCCACCGATATTTGTATAATAAAGTATTTTTTTACAAAAATAAAGTATGGCAAAATTCTGTGTATGATAAGGAGTATTATTCCAAAAACCCAATTGTTTTAATATTTCCATGGAATATTCCTGATTTCAAACCTGATGTTTATACTGATTCAAATGAAATAGAAGATGTCCAATTAAAGAATCATATAGAAGCAGTACGTACAAAATCACAAAATGGAACGAAACCAATTTTCATGAACAGACTGTGGATATCATGTTTCCATGCAGCCAGTCAGGATATATTTGTTCAAGGATTTTATAAATATGATTTCCCAACGGAAGAAGAATCCAATTCATTACCGCCATTTGTGGTAATGAAGCTTGAACTTCAAGAAGGTAATAATGAGGTAGAATGCAAAATAGAGGCTAAGAACGTTAATTCATTAGATACATTTACTAGCATTAAATTTAACATTAATGTGGAGGTCGAGGAAGAAGAAGAAACAGTTTCCTCTGAAGTACCTCTTGAAACATTACAAACAGATTCTTCAGAAATACCGCAAGAAACATTACATTCCCCCATCAAACAGGGTTCTCTGAATTCTCTCGAGAGACATTACAATCCATCATCAGTCAATCACTCATCAATCATGCAGAGCTCTATGAAGAACATGAAGTACCACAAGAAATATCACAATCCATCATCGCTCAAACATTGCAGTTAGTCATCAGTCAAATAGAGTCCTCTAAAGTACCTCAAGAGGTACTACAATGCGTAATCCAGCAAACATTACAATCCATCATCAAGCAATCCATTTTAAAATTATTATTCACCCCATTTATTGAAGATATAAATACTTATAAAGGTCTCTTCATTGTTCCCAAACCACCATTTTCGTATAATACTAAAAATATCGCCGAAACTGACAAGACATTAAAACACCCTTTAATGACTTTTTTTTCAAATTATAATCAAGCCCACAAATATTTTTATTAAAAAAATCATTTTACATAAATAAAGTTAGGACAATTTTTAATTCTGATATGGGATATTATACAAAAAATCCAATTCTTTTAATATTTCCGTGGAATATTTTTTATTTTACACCTGACATTAATACAGGTCTATGTGAAATAAAAGACAACAAATTAAAGAACAATTTTACAAAATTATATAAACAAGGAAAAATAATTGACATGAACAAGTTATGGATTTCATGTACCCATGCAACAAGTCATCATATATATCTTCATGGATTTTATATGAGTCAGTTTCCGATTAAAGAGAATTCCTTGTCCCCATTTGTTATTATGAAACTTGAACTCCAAGACGGTAATAATGAGGTGGAATGTAAAATATTGGCTAAGAATATTAATTCCTCAGACACATTTGCTAGCATTAAATTTAACATTAATGTGGAAATCAGGGAAGAAGAAACAGCAAAAGAATCACACAGAGGAGGACAATTACAAGATGCAGGAGAAGGAGTAGGAGGAGAATTACAAGGCGCAGGAGAAGGAGTAAGAGGAGAATTACAAGACGCAGCAGGAGTAGGAGGACAATTACAAGATACTGGAGAAGGGGTAGGAGGACAATTACAAGACGCAGGAGAAAGGGTAGGAGGAGAATTACAAGACGCCGGAGAAGGAGGAGGAGGAGAATTATAAACAAGTGAAAATGAGTCCTCTGACGTTCCTCACGTCATCAGTCAAATGGAATCCGTCCAACTACCTCATGAATTACTTCGAGAATTATTACAATCCTCCATCTGTCAAGCAGATTTCTCTGAACTACCTCAGGAAACAAAAGAATACGCCCAAGAAACAAAAGAATTCGTTTGTCAAACAGATTCGTCTGAACTTCGAAAATTCAAAATGAAATCCAAACTTGTAGAATCATTATTCTCGCCATTTATCAAACACATAAAAACTTATAAAGGTATCTTTATTGTTCCCAAACCACCAATTTCGTATAATCCTAAAAATACTGCCGAAACTGACAAGACAATAATTCAACCCTTTAATAAATTCCTTAGTAATTATGATAAAATCCACAAATACTTTAACAATGGTTATCCTGTATATTACGTACATAAACTATATAAAAATTCTAATACTGATAGGGGATATTATACAAAAAATCCAATTATATTAATATTTCCATGGAATTTCCATAATTTCATACCTGATATTTATACAGATCTAAATGAAATAGAAGATGTCAAATTAAAGAACAATTTAGAAGCATCACGTATAAAATTACAAAAGGAAGGAAAACGATTTGACATGAACAAATTGTTGATATCATGTACCCATGTTGCAAGTCAAGTTATATTTAATTGTGGATTTTTTACGGATAATTTCCCAGTGAAAGAAAATTCACTGCCCCCATTTGTGGTTATGAAACTTGAACTCCAAGACTGTGATAATGAGGTGAAATGTAAAATGTTGGCTAAGAATATTAATTCCTCAGACACATTTGCTAGCATTACATTTAACATTTATGTGCAAGTCGGAGAAGAAGAAACAACAAAAGAATCACAAGGAGGAGGAGGAGAATCACGAACAATAGGAGGAGAAGGAGGAGGAAGAGAATCACAAACAGTAAGAGGAAAAGGAGGAGGGAGAGAATCATAAACAGTAGGAGCAGAAGGAGCAGGAAGAGATTCACAAACAGTAGGAGGAGAAGAAATAGGAAGAGAATCAGAAACAGCAGGAAAAGAACGAAGAAGAGAATCACAAGCAATAGGAATGCACATAATACAGTTATTACAAGCTCATTTTGGAGGAGGAGAATCCCAAACAGTAGGAAGAGAAGGAGGAGATGGAGAACCACAAACAGTAGGACAAGGAGAAGGAGAACCACAAACAGTAGGAGGAGAAGGAGGAGAACCCCCCACCAAAAAGATAAAAAAAGTGGATTCAGCTCTGCAGAACAAAATGTTCCAAGCAGCCTGGACTATGACGAATCTCTCAATTTGAGGTTTCATGAGTTTCTCTAAAAAAAAAAAATACGTGATCGTTTGCAAGGTGATCCCCAGCGCACCCTACAGTGAGTGGACGTGGCATTTCTCGTGAGCGCCTACCCACACTAGGAAAGCTATTAGCACATTAAAAATAATCATTTATGGTTCGTTAAGAGAGAGAAAGAGATACCCCAGATAACAGATTTCATGAAATCTGAGGGTTGAAAGGAATCTTAGATTCTATGCAATCTATGCAAACACTCTGTACAGGTAAATGGACCCAGTACAAATATTTTGTACATGTCCCAGTAGTGATTGTCCCACACAACACTGAAAATAGCGGGCATGCTAAAAGGCATATTATTAATGGAGATAATAATAAAAATTGAAAAATTTCTAATATTAATAATACAAACAATAATTATACACATTATAATAATAAAGTAACAGCTAAAATATTTAATTTATAAACTGTTTTTTTTTTGTATTTCTACTGGGGACGTATGGATCTGTTTGACTACCGGCAGCTGGGCGTTAGTATTTCCTGTTAAAAAAAACACGTTAGAAACCATGTTTCATTTCAACGCTTCTGTCGCAAGTGACTTGCAGATGTGGCTCAAAAGTCTCTGTCTTCCTCTGTCCCCTGCAGAGTGATTGGGATGGAGTCAGTGTGTTGATGTGAGTCCTGACCACTGTGGCGCATCACTGCCAGGTACACCAGAGGATTCACTGCTGCATTCACAAACACAAGCGAGTTTATTATGACCTGCGGTTTCAGCATCGTTGGCCCGTGGACAATCTGGCAGAAATGTAGCGTTTGGATGATTGCATACGGCAAATGGAGTGTAGTGAAGGTGATGGTTAAGGCCACAAGCAGTCGCCAAGCTGTGCGTGCCTTGGTGCCATTTTCCTGTGGCACCTCGTGCGCCGAGCTTGGTGTTGCCGCTATGAAGACCATCACCCAACTTGTGACCATAGTGGCTGTAATACTTGCTACGGATATAATATCGAAGATTGGTAACCAGAAATACGGGAAGTTTAAAAAACAATGAGTTACAGTACTGTGCCCGAATTGTAGCGTTTCAAATAATATGAAAAATGGGAGAGCCAGGGCAATGGCCGTAGCCCAGATTACTGTGACTAGAATCTTCATTAGAACGGAGCGATCGTCATCCACATGTTGGGTGACAACGCGCATGAAGTCCACACTCAGTGCAATCATAAAAGAATAGCTAGCATAGCTGCATACATATAACTGAGCCATAGTTAACTTGCAAATGGCATTCCCAAATACCCAGTTCATCAAGCTGTATTGAGTTGCAAATACAGGAGCTGGAAGGAGGAAGAGGAGGTCAGCTAAGCACCTGTTGAGCAAATAGACGCTGGAGACGGAGAAGACAGCGCGCGACCTCAGAAGCCAGACAACGTAAGCGTTGGCCACCACCCCGACAACAGCCGACGATGATATGACAACGCTGATGATAATGCCCAGTTTCTGGAAAGCTTCATACTCGCTGTTCCCGATATTTTCTGACACTTCAAATTCTTCGAAGTCTGCCATGGTTTCTGCCTCCTTGATAGTTTGTGTTTGTAGATGAGAGCAGTAAGGGTGGTGAACAGTTGCTTCCTGGCGAGAAGTGAGCAGTTGCCCCCAGATGCGGCCTACTGAATAGCAGTGTTTTAGTGCACTAGTGTGGAGAGCAGCAGTGCCCTGGTGAGGTGTAGGGAACAGTCGTGTGAACAACAGTCAGGCTGCTACATCACCACACTCACAACGATCACCTCGTCTCTGAAAATCAAAACATAGTGTTATGATAAAATGGAGTATGGGAGCCGTGATTGATTTTGCTCTAGAAAATGTTGGATGAAAATGATTTTTATTACCCGATTGAGTGTAACAAGATCTGAGTTTAAATAAAATATTATTTGTTGATTAATTTCCAGAATTTGCGGATAAGAACTTTGTTCTGCCCGAATATATATATATATATATATATATATATATATATATATATATATATATATATATATATATATATATATATATATATATATATATATATATATATATATGTACGTATATGTTATGCGTACCTAGTAGCCAGAACGCACTTCTCAGCCTACTATGCAAGGCCCGATTTGCTTAATAAGCCAATTTTTCCTGAATTAATATATTTTCTCTATTTTTTTCTGTTGAAATGATAAAACTACCCTTTTCATTATGTATGAGGTCAATTTTTTTTTATTGGAGTTAAAATTAACGTAGATATATGACCGAACCTAACCAACCCTACCTAACCTATCTTTATAGATTAGGTTAGGTTAGGTAGCCGAAATGTTAGGTTAGGTTAGGTTGGTAGGTAGGTTAGGTAGTCGAAAAACAATTATTTCATGAAAACTTGGCTTATTAGGCAAATCGGGCCTTGCATAGTAGGCTGAGAAGTGCGTTCTGGCTACTAGGTACGACATATATATATATATATATATATATATATATATATGTCGTACCTAGTAGCCAGAACTCACTTCTCAGCCTACTATGCAAGGCCTGATTTGCCTAATAAGCCTAGTTTTCATGAATTAATGTTTTTTCGACAACCTAACCTACCTAACCTAACCTAACCTAAAGTTTTCGGCTACCTAACCTAACCTAACCTATAAAGATACGTTAGGTTAGGATAGGTAGGGGTTGGTTAGGTTCGGTCATATATCTACGTTAATTTTAACTCCAATAAAAAAAAATTGACCTCATACATAATGAAATGGGGAGCTTTATCATTTCATAAGAAAAAAAATAGAGAAAATATATTATTTCAGTAAAACTTGGCTTATTAGGCAAATCGGGCCTCGCATAGTAGGCTGAGAAGTGAGTTCTGGCTACTAGGTACGACATATATATATATATATATAATATATATATATATATATATATATATATATATATATATATATATATGTATATATATATATGTCGTACCTAGTAGCCAGAACTCACTTCTCAGCCTACTATTCAAGGCCCGATTTGCCTAATAAGCCAAGTTTTTCCTGAATTAATATATTTACTATAATTTTTTTCTTATGAAATGATAAAGCAACCCCTTTT